TGACATCGGGCATCTTTACACTCCTGGAGGCTCTACAGGACACGCCTTCCTTCCTTCCTTTCCTAGCTGCTGGGGGTCCCGGAGCTTCTTGCCTTGTGGCTGCATCTCTCCTGTCCCTGCCTCCTTGCTTGTATGGCCTCCTTTTCTCTCCCATATCTCTCTCTGCTTCCTTCTCAGAAGGATACTTGCCCTTGGATTTAGAGCTCCCCCAGATCATCCAGGGTGATCTCCTCACGTCGAGATCCTGGACTTCATTACATAAGCAAAGACCCCTTTTCCAAATAATATTCCATTCCCAGGGTCTAGGGATGAGCACATGGCCCTATCTTTCTGGGGGGCCACCATTCAGCCCAGCACAATATTAAGGGTTTGGGGAGAAAAGGAGGCCGAAACACAGACACATCATCTCAGGCAAGAACGATATCACCAGTTTGATTTGCATAAACCAGGCCGGTCATACAGGACACCCATCTGGGATCCAAAGAGAATCATTTTGTGTTGAAACAAATTATCGCCATAAACAACTTTCAGACAAAGACCTTATGAGCAGAAAACAAACGTCAGATAGGCAAGTATCATATATTTTATAACTATTACTTTGACCTGTATTTTCATTAATTTAATTTTTATTACTTCAGATAGCTTTAGTATCTCCTAATCTATTCACTTTTCTCACATTAAAATTTAGGACCTTCAAAATAGTATTTCCTATTAAAGTTAGTTCAGAATCACCTTAATGGAAATTCAGATTTCCTGAGAGCCAATGTCTTTTTCCAAATCATAATTCTTCTTTCTTTCAAGATTCTTAATTTTAAAAGCCAATAAAATTAGACACACTTCTGGATTTAATGCATATCCATCATTTAAATCACCATTGGAAGTTTAAGACAATTCCTAAAACAGCTAATCCATATATGATTTAAAATTTGCTAAAACAAATAACAACAAAAAAAACCCCTCAGCCTTCTTTAATTCAGATCCATGCTCATTAATGAGACCCTGTTAATATTTCATGCATAGCCTCTTCCCATTTACTTTAAAATATTTCTGTAATGGAAATTGGAAAATACACAAGGCTCCTATGAGTAATGAAAAATTCAAATGTGTTTAGGAAAGATCTTCAGCTATAATTTAAATAGTGTTGCTTAAACATTTCTAAAAGGACCTAGGAGCCTCTGCTCCAAACAGGATTCAGAAGCATGGCGGGGTCTCGCAGTCAGAGCAGAGGAGTCCTTCCTGGCAGGCTGGATGTCAGTATCATCACCGGCCACAATGATCATCCTTCCTGTGAGAGGTAAGTTTTCACTTGCGAAACCAGGTAACCCAGTCACAGAAGAGCACGTGGTGATCCGAGCGACACTCTAACCCATCCATCTGGCCAAAGAAGAGGCCACAAAGAAACCCAAGAACCCCAGAGCTACTGAGCTCCTTCCCTGGGATCAGCTTTATCACAAAGGGCCCTTCAGGAATGCTCATACTACTGTCCAAAATAGATCGTGCATGCTGTTTCTAAACCAATTAGCTCTTTGCTATGTCTCTTGATTTATAAAATGCAGAGTACGCTGCTTTCCTTGAAAATGCAGTAGCTCAAAATTAAATATATGTAGCTACATCTGATGATTAGAAAGGCATATGGCTTGACATATTGCCACAAATTACATATAATCTATACTGTAACATGTGAATGAGTCCTCAGGGAGTCCTTGGGCTAAGACTCATTAGATCTCAGTAAAATGAAAGATTTTTATAAAACCACAAAATTGACTCCAATTATGGAAAATCCTGCTTAAAACATAAAGGCACTTTTACATAAAAATTCATAATTCCATGGGGTTTGGCTCTGTGGCAGCTAATCAATTGACTGGCTCTGCTCTGCTTTATTGCTATCAGAGCTCAGTGAAATAACTGTATTTATTCAAACCATTCATTGTTTTTCCCCCAATTAAAAAAAAAAAAAACACAAACACTTGAAATTGAAATTCTATTAAGTGGTTGTAGAATAATTTTTAAAAGTAAACATAAAATAATTAATAAATAAAATATTATTCCAAAGCTTGGTCCCATTCTGTTTAATGCAATTAGCATTTATCGAACAATTTGATACATCTCCGAGATTCAGTACGAGGCGGGTCAGGTATCGATGGACTTAAGATAGCTTCCATGAAACTCAGAGGAAAATAGGAAAGTAGTTTTCCAAAATCACTACTTATGTCTTACCGTAATATTTCAGCTAAATCCTATGAATTAATAAATGCTCAATATGAAGAAAATAGAGATTAAAAATTCAAATACAGGACTAGAGGTTTTGCTACCATTATAAAAAATGTTAAACGCTAAATCTCTCATATGTAAAAGGTAGTTAATAACACTCTAGGAACATGCATGTGCGTGTGTGTGTGTGTGTGTGTAAAATCTTGCACCGAGGCCCTCTCCACGGCCATTCACCCCTCAGTCCTTCCCATGGCGCCATGATACTACAACGTCTCCCCAGGGTGCTCCTGGCCCATCTGTTCCACTCAGGTGTCCCTCCTGCTGACCCCATTCCTCCTTCTTTTCTCTTGGTTTTCATGATTCAATTCCTACTCCTTTTCTCCATCTTCTCCATGTTCTTCCTGAGGCAAATTACCAAGATACACATTTCCACAAATATGTCTATGTTTCTAAAAACAACCGTCTTTTATTTGTCCCATCCTATTGAAGTTTCTACTAAAAACTTCGAATTCGAAACATCTACCCTGAGTATCTTTCCTTCCAGACTGCCTCTTCTCCAGGATTCCTCCCGCGGTTGGCGCTGGAACCATCCAACCACAGTGGGGAGAGAGACGCCTGCCATTTCAAGTTATGGCCCCTCCCCTGTGTGGGACATCCCATCAGCCAGCACGGCAGCCTTGTCTTCAGAACACCACCTCTGCGATCTTCTGCTATGGTCCAAAGGCAGTTCTCGCTTGAGTGTTCCCATAAGCGCCTTCTTCTTTCCCCCAAACCATCCTCTACCGTGTCCTCTGTTTTCCTTACTTCATCCCCCACACTGTCTGAAAATATGTGGGGAGTTAACACCATCGAGAGGACAAAGTCCTGAGTAGTACATGTATATTTATTCATGATTTCGTCCAAAAACAGTTTTTTTAAAGACTTATCTCCAGCCAATCTCTAGAGACTTAACTGTACTTCTTGTACCGTTTCCCAAATGCAGGGTGGGTGGACATGGCAGAAGGGTCCACAGCACTCTCAGCAATAGCCGCCTTCTTGCACTGCACACATTAGAAGGTGGGAAAATTCCCAGGCTTCCTTGCAGCTAGCATCTGATTGTTCTTTAGCTTCTACCAGTCTGGCACCACTGCTCAAGATTCCGAAGGTGGGCGCGGTGGAGGCCGTGCTTCAGTTGCGTCTCCTGTGTGTCTCATAAGCATGTTATGATGAGGCTGTCTTCTCTGGCAACGGAGACCTCCCGGCCTGGTCACCGGCTCACTGACTTCTCTGTGCTGACTACCCGTGGATGGGCACTTTCCTGGTGTCAGCGGTGGGTGGCAGGAACTGAGGGTCAGTACCTGGGGCAGCAGCTTCTCCATTTGGCTGGAAACCTCTGGATCAAAGACGAGGTCACAGTGATGTTGGAAGCCCCGTCCCGTGGTGTGGTTTTGAGTCATTCCTGAATGTTCAACTTAGAGTCTCCCGACAATTATTTTCCTATACCAAATTATTTTCCACTTGAACAGCGATAGTGGACTCTGTCCTAGGCCACGGAGTCCCGGGGGATGGACATGCCGTCCAAAGGTCCATGTCTCCACCAGAATCCTCCTTCCCTTTATCCTTACTGAGCTCTAACATCCCCAAAGGCCTGGGCCGCATTTGACCTCCTCTAGAAAATATTTCTACACTTTCTCTGGGAGCCGAATGATGGCTCCCTTCTCCAGGGTAATACAGAACTTGGTTAATATTACCCATGTTATTATAAGCAAATTATATCATAATTATTTGTTAATTTGCCTTTTCCTTATTTGTCGACAGTGAGATATTTGAGTGCAGGGAATTTGGTTTCTTCCTCTTTGCCTCTCTAATGCTCTGGGTTTGGAATCTAGTAGAGTCTCAGTGAACAGGGGCTGAAATGACCTGAAACACACTGACTGGAGGTTTCACCCTCCGAGAGGTAGCTTCTGCTAAGCGCCAAATGGGGGAAACCCAGGGGCCACAAATTCATAGGCGGATGACAGTAACCACAGATGGGCCTGGATGGAAGGTAAATGCAACGTGGATTCGAGTATCAAAAAATGGGTATGATGTGACCTTGTGAAGAAGGCAAGGAGGGTACTTTAAGCTGGAGCAGGAGGAGTGGGAGCCCCAAGGGGTGTGGAATGCAGGAGACAGTGAGTGGGTTAGAAAAGTCACCTGAAGAGAGGTTTTGGCTAAGGGGGTTGTGACACAGAAGTCATGGCTAAAATGAGTGGCATCAGCTCAGAGAGGCCTGGGATATTAGCCCAGAGCCTAAGGGGTGTGAGGTTTTGTAGACAAGTAAGGGGGGTCCTTGAAGGTGTTCAAGAAAGAAGCACCTTTTACTAAGCTGGTTAGGGAACTGAGAGAGGGTGGAGAGTAGCTCTCTTTACTCAGGTTGACATGCTGTAAGAAAAATAATTTAATACCAAAACTACACTGAGGGCAAGTAAAGTCAGAAGACGAATATCTGCTTGGATAATGAAGGGATCCCAAAGTTCAGAGCAGAGCTGTCTGTATTAAAACCAAGGTGCTTTTGCTCACATTATGTTATAATCTGGGGAACATTACGGAAGGATCTGACCACCTGACTCATCACCCACATTCTGAAGATGCAAAGTCCTTCTCAGGTTATAATAAAAGAGCTTAGAAAAGTAAAAATGTGTGGGTTGTTCGCCCAACTTCCATTCACTGAAATAATAAACTCTAAAATGTCTAAAACTTGAAAGCTTGTCCTGAAGACATTTGGCCCCCTAGCGTACGTGCTATATCATGCCGCTCTCTGCACTTACCCTTCCTGCGTAGTGCATGGTAGTGAACGCCGTACCCTGGTCTTTGAGCGCCATGTTCCCGTTCCCATCCTTCATGGGGGAATAGACTGCATTTGTGTTTGACGATTCGAGGAGACTCTGTAGCTTTTTGGGAAGATTTGGTTCCATTGACCAAATCATCTGACTTTCTTCATCCAATAAAGACAGAAATCCAGATGGCTTCTGAAAAACAAGAAAAGATAGTATTTTTCTTCTATTACTCAATTTGATGGTTTTGTTATTATTGTACATGTATGCTCATTTGTATTTTCATTATGTTCATATAAGCACTCAAAAAATGAATTAGTCTACTTTTAATATACATCTATGTTTGCTCACTACTGCATCCCCAACACCTAGCAGAATTCTGATGTCATGTAGACCCCAAACAGTATTGGTTGATTAATAATTGATAATGAAAAAAATCAATTAAAGAGTGTGTTTTAATGTCATTCAAACACTGGAGTTATTAAAAATTATATTCTCATCTCAAAAAGAAAAATAAAATTTCCAACTAAAGGAGAAGTGTAATTTTTCTTGACCTCTAACCCATATCGACCACTTCACAGTTATGATGGGTCAAATAACTTCTCCAAAAACAGAACCTACAATCATTTGAGTCATAAAAATTGTAGAAAAACCCTATTCAGCAGGAAGTAGAAGTGACTATAATATTCCAATATTAAGACCTAGAAAAAATAAAGTTGGAAGTTATAACTTGTAAAATTCAAATTAGAAGTCTGATAGTTTATAGCTGTCAAACACAGAAGCTAAAGTCATATATAAGCAACCACTTAAAATTAATCTCACATGAAGGAAAACACTGCTTGAAAGAACTTCTCCATTTACCCTGACAGTTCGTTCCCCACACACAGAACATCACTGTGCCTGCGTGGTTTACACATCAGGTGAATAACTCTGACCCACTGCTGTGCTGTTTATCTTTTCTTCCCTAGGAAAGTTCTTCTGTTGACATGTCAAATCTACCTTTAAAAATAAATTTGTATTATTTATTTACCTCATTCTGTCATATATCTGAATTCTTCACATCAACTCAAGTGTGCTTTTGGAAGTGTGAATACCATAAAATAATTCTCAGGAAGTGAAGAGATCTCTATTGGCCCCTATAGCCATTTGGTTTGTATTTTGACCCAAGGTCACCATACCAAACCACCACAGGCATCTCATATTATTCACTTGGCCAACAGAAAGTTGTTTCTTTGTGGCTGAAATGTTTTAGTTGTTTTAAGCCTTTTGGAGTTTCCTGCTCATGGTAAAGAAAATGCAAAGACTAGCTACAGTTGTCTCAGAGCTCCAAATGTCGAGATCCTTCCAGTGCCACCCACAGAGAAGAAAGGCTGGAAGTGGCAGCCATGGGAAGGACCTATGCCTGGTGGGGGCTCACGTACCAGGGGGAGCCCTTCGGGAGACGTTTGGCAACTGAAGGACCATCTCTGGAATAAGCAGATAGATAGCCTCCCTGAGAAGGAAGGAGAAGAATGACTGATAAAGGGGGAAGGGGCACTAGGAAGGAATTGGGAAGGCCTGCAAGAAGCAAGTTGACCCATCTCAGCAAACGACCTAGGTCACTAACACCTCCGGGGACTTGTGTTACCAACACAGAAATATATCTGATAAGGGGATGTGGTGAAGGAAGTCCAATGTATGGTACATTCTCAGAGAACCAGGGACCCTATAAAGAGTCAGAGGTGAAAAAAATAAAAGTATGGATACACAAAATGGATGGAGAGAGGCCCTAAAAGAAAAATCAATGAGGAGTTGGCAGAGGACTGGTCTTGCCTGGGATTTGTTGAAAGATCAGATTCTTCATTTCAGTGTATAGCATCCTATTGGCTGAAGAGTAAGATGTTGATCCATAAGATCAGCAGCTGCTTCTTTACCTGTGCATTTGAGCATCACACCCATGACACTCCTCCATATACTGTTACACTTACCCCCCCCACACACACGTGAGCACACACAGACACCAAGTGGAAGGGTGAATGGGCTAGTTAAGGATGTTGCAAATGCATCCATGTTTTGGGGGCAGTGACAGACCTTTTTGGAGGCTAGAATTTAGAGCTCTAGTGGGTGTTTCAGTAAGTCAAAGTCAAGGCCCCAAGTAGTATAAGGGAAGGGATCACTTCCAAAATAGCCTACAACAAGATATATTTTTTTAATTCTACCAAATATTTTATTTTTTAAATTTTTTTAAAAATTCAATTAGCCAACATATAGCACATCATTAGTTTTTGACATAATGTTCAGTGATTGATTAGTTGTGTATAGCACAAGGTATTTTTTTATTATTTTTTTAAAGATTTTATTTATTTGAGAGACAGAGAGAGAGAGAGAGAAAACGAGCAGTGGGGAGGGGCAGAGGGAGAGAGAGAGAGAAGCAGACTCCCTACTGACCAGGAAGCCCAACACGGGGCTCCATCCCAGGACCCGGAGATCATGACCTGAGCCGAAGGCAGACGCTTAACTGATTAAGCCACCCAGGCGCGCCAGCACAAGATATTTTTTTAAAGCATTACAATTTGGATTGTCTCCAAAAGTTTTAAAATTCATATGTATTATGTTTTTTGGATGTTTGATATAAAGCCATGAAAGAATGGTGGTAATCCAACTTATAGACTTGGAAACTTGGTGAAGTGTCTAAAGAAGAAAATAGAGCATGGAGAAGAAGTCATAAAAAATGGCCTTCAGTTCCTTCAGAAATGAGGGCTTAGGAGAGACTGAATTGTTCTACGAAATGCATGCCATTTCACCTTGACAACAGAAAGCACTGAGGACCGACAGGGTAACAAAATGCACTAGACACATAGAGAGTCAGGTAAGAATCTGGATCCACCTCCTCTGTTCATGGACATAAGACAAATACATGTTCAGTGAAATATGGATGTGGCTTAAGCAAAAATCGCAGATGTTTGTGAGCAGTAGAGGATTATGGGTACTAGGAAGGAAACAATAAGCTTCCTTTCTACTGTAGGGTATGCCTGCCTGGTACACAGACCTGCAGATTTGTGGGTAAACACCCAAGCTTCCCCCTATACTTGGTACATCTTTTCATTTTTATGGGTATCAAAGAGAAGTGGCAGTCAGAAATACCCACTCTCGTTTCCAACTCATACCGATGAGGGTCCTCTTATTGAAATAATCCTCACTCCATGGTGAAATCTCAAGGATGGCCATCAACGAGATAGAAAGAATATCATGGCCATCGAAGACACAGAAAGAACGTCATTCTGCTGGCTACCGGTCAGCGGTCGAGAACACAGCAGCAAGCAAGAATGAGGGCAGCGGGTGTCTGAGGCTTCCCATACACAGTTCACTATATATTGCTGTTGGTTTGAAGACATTTTTTTAAAGATTTTATTTATTTATTTGACAGAGACACAGTGAGAGAGGGAACACAAGCAGGGGGAGTGGGAGAGGGAGAAGCAGGCTTCCCACGGAGCAGGGAGCCCGATGCGGGGCTCGATCCCGGGACCCTGAGATCATGACCTGAGCCGAAGGCAGACGCTTAACGACTGAGCCACCCAGGCGCCCCTGTTTGAAGACATTTTTAAACCTTACAGAGAGAAGTTATATACCATGTGTGTCATGATGAGGGAGAGGTTTCTGTAGGAAGAGGGCTTCTTCTGTCATCAAAATAAAGAAGGTTGACAAGTTGGTAAGAGGAACAAGAATATTTTACATACTAGGTAATTGTATAAAATAAATTTACAAGTCTACATTTATAGAAATAAAGGGTAGAAAATTACAGCCTATGTTCTCCAGTGGCTGAAATGTACCAGTTTTAAACAATGTTCAAGTGTTTTAGAGATATTATTGATAGATGTGTATCATGCCTTACTACGTTAGTACAGAGGGATTGCTGTTTGTTTGGTAGATTTTTGTTTTTATGATAGAGATATTGAGGCAAAGATTCTTGCATTATAAGGTAGAAATAATAAAGGTAAGGGTTGACACCGGCAGATGTCCTAAGATTATATGTACGTAAACATATTTTTCTGCCAATGTTTTTCTGTATTTCAATTTAAAAACTTTGAAGATAAATTAAAAAGATCCTGTTGAATATGTTCTATGAGCTTGTTAGTCTTAGTATTGTTTTATAAAATATTAATTTTGTACATTGAGCATTTGTAACTATGCCAAAAGAAGAGTTTTATTGACATAACCAATGCTGAATATTTTTATAATAAAATGATCTGGTATTTCTAGTCCTTTCAATGAACTGATGATCCTTCAAATGCCCCTTCAGGAAGAGGGTAAGCTGTACTCCCAAATCAACTCTGAAAAAATAAATTTCCGAAAAAATTCTGAAAAGTAAATACAGTGAAGTCTCAGATATAAAGCCATCTCCAAATTAAGGCCCCTTGAGAGAAAATTCTTTGTCTTCAGTATATTTAAATCCTGTAAAGTATCTAATTATATTATATGAATACCTGGAAAAAAAAATCCAAAACTCCAGTCTGGTTACCAGGAGAATAAGTTGTTTCCATGGTAACTCCCTCTTGTACACATTCTGTTTGCTCGTGTAGAAAAAGCACTTCATTGATGTAGTGGTGCATCTTCTCATTGGTCATGTTGACACAAAGCTATTGCGGGGGAGAAAGAAAACAATTCACAAGGTAATTATGGCCATGCAGATCCACTCGTTATATGACCATTTTAGATCGGTGACATATTGACTCAAAACGTTCCACACCAATTAGTCTATTGAGATAAATAAAGCATTACAGTATTGCTTGAGAAGTAAAAGAAAAGAGTTTCACCTGATACTGTTGACTTCATTTTGTCTGATTATTCAATTTAAAGTGAGTATGTTAAAAACAAGAAGTATAATTACAACATTAACTCACAAAGTTGGGGTTTAAAATATAGTTGAGTATTTATAAAACATTTCCAAAAGGCAATTATATCTGGGCTTAGTCAACAACTGAGGATAAAAGGTGGGTTTACCGTGAAAGCCCAGAGACAGAAGAAACATGTCCTGCCTCCTCACTTGTGTTATGTATCCATGATGGGCAAGAGAACATGGGTTTCTTTCAGAAAGAATAACCGCTCTAAGCACTCTGTTGTAGAAATTATTTTATCAGAAAATTTTTTATATTCCTCCAACTGTCAACTTTTATCTTCCCATCAGGAAACAAATATGTTATTTCTCAATCTTAAAAATTATCTCAAAATACAAAAAATCAATAAAATATCCCAATCTAACAAAAATGTAGTCTTACTTCCTCTCTAGGCTATCCTGTCACTTTTCTGTTTTCTCTTCTAACAAGGAAACCTCAAAGGAGTTGTCTTTCTTTATTATCTTAAATTCTTCTCCTCTCCACTGTTGAAGCCACTCCAATTAACTTTTGCCCCGCAGTGTTCCACCAGAATCACTTTGGTGGGAGTCACCAACGACATGTGCATTCCGAAATCCAGTTTTCAACTCTTGGGTGTTTATTTTCCTTGACCTCCCAGCACTATCTCATGGTGATTCCTCTGCTTTCCTGGAAAGCTGCCTCTATTGTCTTTTTGGACATCATGGGCTCATGGCCTCCTGGACATCATGGGCTCGTGCCTCATGGGCCTCTCCATCTACACCCACGTCCTTCATGAGCTCACTCAGTCTCACAGGCCATGTGCACACGAGCCCCTATATTACACCAGGTAAAATCCAGAAATTGCTTAGAAATATTTAGAATTCAATAACTCATGGAAAATAATTAAAGATGAACAATTTATGTAAATCAAAATAACTGATAAAAGCTTTTGAAAGAAAATCAGATCTGATCTGCAAAGGAAACAATATCTAGGATTATATGTAATATGAATGTGCTAATGTTATACAATGAAAATGCCAAAGATTTTGTAAATCATACTGACTGAAATAGTCACTGGAGAAAAGAAAGGCCACCCTAGGTTTCTCTTTTGCACATATCAAAATTCGTCTCCACGTCTGGTGTCATTATAACACCTGCTAAGTGGGAGCTCTTCCTAGACATTCCTGTCCCTCTACTGGGAGCTCATGGCTTCTCTCTTGGACATATAAGAGCACCCCTCATGTTCCAGCTTCCAAGAAGCAGGCCAAGCTACTTTTGTAAATAACCAACACCAGGAACGCCTTAATTCTCCATATGGATATCAGCACCTGCACATGAGGGTGTGGCTATTCATGATTTAGAATAATGTGTGCATAGAAAGAAAGAGTCATTTTCCCACAGACCCAGCTATTTGGGAGAATGGGAGTTGATGGGTTTTTACAGACATGACGTCTCAAAGGGAGAGGTTTCGGGGAAGAAACAAACCTATCAGCACAGGGCACTGGTCAGAACACAGAGAGAGTCTGTCCTGAAACCAATGGTGTAATGTCAGTTTCCATTCTTTACTTCTTACCAGGACCAGAATTCTGTGAGTAGACACAGCTCAAATGTTTTCAGGAACGGTGACATGGTGACAGGACTGTGGGCATAGGGCTACATTGATTAAAGCATGATTGAAGAGCTAAAAAGGTAGAGGCTCAGATGACCTACAGTTAAGTTATCGCAACAATGAATGTACATCAATATTTTGTTATTAATGCAATAGATGGAGAATGATCGATAGAGAAGTATACTAAATAACATGCCTAATTAATAACTACATTCAAAATAAGATCTGAATACCCTATCTGGACACTCAAAGAATAACAAAAGCAATTCTTATTAGCTCCAGGTCAGAAAATGATGGTTCAGGGCTATCACCTTGTCTCCAATAGCTGTTTTTGCATCTCTGACCTCATGGTAAAAAAAAAAAAAAAAAAAAAAAAAAATCACTTTTGTAAATCTCGTGATAAAATGAATGTCTGTAGGCTGAAAAAGCTTTCCTATTGCATTCTATTGCAAAATAAGATCTAAGGTAAAACTAAGAACCCTGCCACATTGCTGCTGTCTTGGAAATTAACTTTAAAACCTAAAGAACTGAAGACAATTCATTTAAACTTAGAATTGCTCTTTGCCTCATCTTTTCCCTCCTACTACTCCAGCCATGGTCACTGGGATTTCTTGAATTTCCTTCCTTCTATCTGATATGGCCAGTAGTTGCTAGAACTTCTCCTCTCTGCCCCTTGACAACTAGAGTTCATGAGATAGAGGCAAAACTGGACGTTCTTTATATTTAAACTAAAAGTCTCTTAGGCAAACCCTCACTTCCACTCATCAATTCTCTGAATATAAAAATATTACAACCGCCATCAGTTCAGATGACAACATGCCACGTAAGACATTTAACTTGACATGCTTGGTTGTTATGGCAAAAACAATCTGAATATGGACACAGACCAATAAGGTCGGCACATTATAGCTGGTAAAAAAAGAGACGGAACTCACTATTTAAATATCATACGAAAAATATTTCCTTCCTTGTAACTGATACAGCCTAGGTTCACATTCATCCACTTGCTTTGTTCCGTCAAAGCAAAGCCGACCAAGATCTGTGCTTATCTTACTGTCCAGGGTATAAATTTCCAGACATGATTCTGGAAAGACAAACCCCTTCCATAAAATGGTGTCACCTCTGTCCACAGTAGCAGCCCCCCCAGGAAAGTAACACGTTTACTTGTTGCTCTCATTTGATCATAAACAAAAAACAGAAATGTCTGAAAATTGTTGTTGGGGAAGAAAAACGGAAATATGAAAAATTATTTCACTTTGTTTAAAAAATATTTTGAGATGTTTCCCCAATCTAATCAGGTGTGACACTCCTTTAATACCAAAGTAATTGTGTGACCAAAGATGAATCAATGCTACAAAAGATTGTTAAAATTCGGGGTGAAATATTTACAGTAAATGAACAGAAAATAGATGACTCCATTATGGAAAGAAACTGCTGGAAAAATACTCTCTTTAGTTACATGATATACACAACTGTCATTTTTCAAACTTTTTGGTATTAAAAATGCATTAAATCATTTAAGAAAACATAAATAGATTCTATATCTCAGCAGTCTGAGCTTCTACCAAAGAAGTGGTTTAAAAGTGGTTGTGGAGAGTGTGCCTAAATATAATATATTTTAGGAAATGGATTGCTCAGGAGATAAAGGTCAAAGCCATGAAAAATAAGATGCCTGATACTGTATGATGTCTGATGGGTTACTGTCGGTTACTATGTTACTGTCTGATGAAGCTTTCCAAAGTGAGAAGATCCCTGGCTGCTTCTCTATTGTACAAGAGATACCCAAATTGTAGGACATGGATCTCTCCCCTCAGTTTGAGGTTCTCTAACTGAAGATACTTAGATGTGGATGTCTCGAACACACTGAATAGAATTCTCTTAGCATTTCGCATTCACAATAGATGGCAGGTCTGTAGTTGCAAAAATTACTTTCCATGACAACCTGCCTGAATCCTCTTGCCCTTGACCGCCTCATAGCTGAGCATCACCCTATACACCTGGCTGGTCTGACTGACAGGCTTTTTTATAATACAAACCGACAATTCAATTGTTATTGTTTAATATTTTATCAAACCAAGTCTTGGCTTCACTGTATTGAACCACTGTTTGAGGCAAAATGGTGGCACCAAGTGGGAATGTGGTCGAAGCCACAGTAAAATGAGAAAGAGCTGCAGGGGGTCGGAGTACATCTTTTTCTTTCTTCCCCCCTCCCACCCCCCAGGAAGGCCTAAAGTAATCTGCCGAACTTCCTCTAACAGAAAAAGGATTTGGCCTGTGCTTCTGGATACAACAACTCGATTTCTTACTCTCCTGGTCAAGATGATTCATAAACCATCCAGCTCCTTTACTGAGCCTCGACATTTTTAAGCTGCAGCATTGGATGGTATTTTGTGACATGGGGCGATCAGAACAATACATCTGAACCTTGTGTTGTACATCATGTTCTTTGTATTTGGAGGGGGAAAAAAAAGAAGTCATTTATTAAAATCCCATAAGGAAAATTCCAGCTTGATGTGTGAAACTGAGTAGGCTGGGCAGTGGTTTTTGACTTGCAGCCTTTATTACACCTGGTGCTAGCTGAAACTGAAATGTTTTTGTGTTTCTAACAGAGAAGACCAATGCTGAGCAGTAAAGGAAATCACTGGGAGCATATACAGTTCACAGCAGAATGGTTTTTCAAACTCGTTTTGAAGTAACGTGTACATTACAATTTGCTACCAAAACAGTTTGCCTTTCCCTATTCTTTCTTTTAATTTTTTTTTTTTTAATTTTTTAACAGAGAGAGAGACAGCAAGAGAGGGAACACAAGCAGGGAGAGTGGGAGAGGGAGAAGCAGGCTTCCCGCTGAGCAGGGAGCCCGATGTGGGACTCAATTCCAGGACCCTGGGATCATGACCTGAGCCGAAGGCAGATGCTTAACAACTGAGCCACCCAGATGCCTGCCTTTCCTATTCTATATTGTTTACAGCACCCACTATTTGAACCAAAGTTAAAACCTAAAAAGAGCACTGTAGCATGCACTTCAAAAGTGCCAGTAAACGTGGCTAAGGGAGCTAATATGAATACATCAGCCTATGTCAGATACGTAGCTGAAAATGGAAAAAGGGATCCCACCAACAAAATGGTGGCCCTACTCATGGTCAGAACCTGCTTATTCCTGATTCAGCTTCACTGA